TTCGGCAGTGTTCAGTGCTATGATGGATGTGATCTGGAGCCAATACACTGCAAATATTTGAAGAAAGCGCTGCAATAAAACCGCAGCGCTTTCTTCAATTATTTGCAAGTGAGGTAAATGGCTGCCTTGCTGATGGTCACCAGCACGATGCATCCGAGTTCCAGCTGTTTCTGCTGGGTGCTCTGCAATGAGAAGAAGAGTCGGTTATTTTCTTGCTCGCCTGTGAACAAGATATTCAGTCTGCAGACCGTTTCTGAATTGTCGCACTCTGCATGCGGTGAACAGTCGGCAACATTTGAGGAAGCTAGTTTCATTTCAGTCGAATTATCCGTTCATGCAACTCGCAACACTTTGGAGCACTGCCTCAGTAGTCATTTCTCACAAACGATATTGGGTGACTGTAAATGGAATTGCCCAAGGTGTCGCTAAGCGAGCATCACGGATGACAAAATTGTGGTCTCTGCCACCAGTTGTTGTAGTTCATCTAAAACGATTTTCCATGGAGAACGGCGATTATGCGAAAAACACGATGCCCGTAGATTTTGACCCTAGCAGACTCGATCTTTCCGAATATTTACATGAAAATTCTCCAGAAATAGCAGAACCTTATCGATTATATGCTGTAACGAATCATTATGGTTGATTGAATAGCGGCCACTATACAGCGTTAGTTTGTCATTCAACGACGGGAGACTGATTAAAATTTGATGATGAGAGTGTTTCGTCTTCATCAGCCGATGGAATTAATACATCCGAGGCGTATATGTTATACTACAAACGAGCGTGATCACTGGTGACTGTGATATATGTATAAAAGATATAATAGGAAATTTATTTAAGAAAATATTCGTTGATGAAAAAAACTCTGGATCATTGTCATGAAGTCTGGACTTGACGGTGATGGAGACAAGAACTGTATAATCCTAAGTGCGAGGGCTCCTACCATTTGATCATGGTGTAAAAGTAGCGGACAAGCGATTTCACTCAATGTCACCCAACTCATGCAAATTTTGTCCGACAAAGGTGCGTATCGTTTGCTCGCTTGCCATAGAGTAAGCGGAGTATTGCCGACGTATACGCGTGGCGGCTTTTGATAGCGAGGGAATAGAAGAAACAATGCTCCAAATGGTGATTTGTCTTCAATTCAGCTTTCATCAGCAGTCCGCCTACTCTATAACAAGCGAGCAGCCTATAGCTGTTCTACTGATCGGCTATAGTAGTTTCCCTGTAAACAAGAATTCATTTCTAACGATCCGGACCAAAGTTTGCACACAATTCGAGGCAGG